AAGAAAGCATTCACGTAGCCACTCACGTACGAACACGTAAAATTTGACATAACTGTGCAACCGAAGTATCTAGAGCACTGGATCTTCTGGGCATGGATTAGGGGTCACTGTAACAATTTTTAACAGCTGTAGTGGCCAGTCCCAATTCTTTTAGCTAGAAGCATCTGCCAGGAAGAACGAGCCACTGGCGAAAAAACCTGCGGGGGGAACTGCGCAAAAAACGCATCCTCGTACCGGCAGCCGGTACGCTTTCTACTAGGTTTTTTTCGTTTTCCGTATTTTTTCACGTTACATTTGCAACAAGGAAGTAGTCCTGCATTTGTACCAAAAGTGGAAGGGGATTCGAATCTTCTTGTGAGGTAACCATTCCATTTACGATTCGTTCACTCGTTTCGATGGTATTTGTCGTTGCCGCACGCCAGTGAATCAGTACCACCATGTCACTCGTCAACGGCAAATCCTACACCAGAAAAAGGAAGACAGCTTCGTGACTTCTCAGCACAGAAATTTCCAGCCCACGGTTATTGTTTACAGGTTATCGAAAGCCATTCAAATAATTATCGTTGGGATTGTTCAAACAGTCTGTGTGAAGATCCGACATTACTGTTACTTTTGGGACGCTCAGGACTGAAGGACTTGGCAAAGCTGTGCCGGCATGCGGCAGCAACTACTGTAAACAAAGTGAGAAACGCACACCGATTACCTGGGGGGCCTTAGTATTAAGATGGGCGCATATGTGGAATTCAGTACGCCAAGCTGTACATTTGGTGGCAGTTTTCAGTAAAATCTGACTGATTATGATCTCCCACAAAATTGAATTGATTTTAGCCTCCGATGAAATTCAACTGGAATCTGGACCAGTATGCCCAAAATCTTGGAACACATGACAGAAGGCCTTTTATAACGCATGTGGACACTGGTGGGACAAATCTCGATCGTTTCATCATATCAGCTGATGAAAATGGTTCTCCGTTTTTGGACTCATTCATCGGGAAATTTAGTCGGCGAGGTGCTATTTTGATTTCAGTCAAAAATTTATCACCTAACCAAATTTTTCTTAAAAAATGACGTATTGACCTCGATAAACTTGCTCTAGAATAAAAGTGGGGTATTTTGACCTTACTTAAGTATGTTCTCACGCCCAGTGCAGCTCGCAAAGCCTTCTTATTAATGCCTCCTTAAATTGCCATGTGCCGCTCCCTGTCAAGAACTCACACAGAGTTTTGTTCTTCGAGAGTACCATTTCGAAATGCGTTTCATCAACTGTTAGTGTGATAAAACAAATGCTGAGTTTCTTATGCGTTTTTTGCATCTATGCAATGCAGAAAACGCATACTGACTAGGAGTTGTCTGTGTGTATGTGTGTGTGTGTCTTGCGTCGGTACCAATTTTTCATCTCAAGACCTATAAAAGCTACAGGGCTGAAACTTGCTGGAAAGCTGAAATTTTAAAAGGACATTCCCCGTACGCGCAGTATCAATGAGCTCAAACTCAGCCCCCGGGCATGCGTGGTACCCACGCGTGGGCCCGTAGAAGTTTTTTTCAGGTAAATTGCTAACTCGGAAACCTGAGAAGCTAGAAGGCTGTAATTTTAAGGGGATGTTCCCCTTCCACGTGGCTCCCAATGAGTTCACAGCCAACTTCTGGGTGTGTCTGATTCCTACACACGGGCCCGTGAAAGTTTTTTTGGGTAAGTTGCTAACTCGGGAAGCTGAGAAGCTAGAAGACTGGAGTTTTGAAGGAATGTTTCCCGTCCAAGTAGGCTGAGCTCAAATCCAGCCTCCGAGTATGCGTGGCACCCACGTGTGGGACCGTGGAAGTTTTTTTCGGGTAAGTTGCTAACTCAGGAAAGTGAAAAGTTAGAAGCCTATAGTTTTAAGGGCATGTTCCCTTTGCACATAAGTCTCAGTGAGCTCAAACCCAGATACCGGGTGTGCGTGGTACCCAAGTGCGGCCCTGCCGAAATTTTCTTCGTGTAAGTCGCTAACCCGGTACCTGAGAATTTTAAGAGGATGTTCCTCGTCCATGTAGATCCCAACGAATTTATAGCCAACCCCCGAGTATGCCTGGTTTCCATATACAGGCTCGTTAAAATTTTTTGCAGACACGGAAACCACGAAAGCTAGAAAACTGAAATAAAGGGACGTTTCCTGATAGTCTTGGCGGTTAGTCTCAATTCTTCGCACCGGCAGCCGGTGTGTTGGCCAATTATTTAATGGTTGTTGCGGCACGGAGGCTCGCAAGGAAGCGTTTATTCGATGTGGATGAAGTTATGAGCGGTGAGTAATACTGGCAAATCGGCATGAACAAAGGTGTTAGGGACTGTTGAGATGGGGACAAGAAGGCGTTGACGAGAAGTATCGAATCGTCGAACTGACGATGCGAGAAAGACGCGTAGTTCCAATCATACACCTGACTAGGACCTGGAGTGAAGGAATTGAGGGTTTATATGGAGCTTAAAAGATCCAACTCGGAAGAGGAGGAATGTTCCTTCTTTACAGTTGTGAAGATTCAAAAAAGGCCAAACAGGCGAATTAGAAAAAGTTGTTGATTTAGAAAAAGAAAGGGAAGAATATGTAGATTGGAATGTTAGATATGAAGGGTATAGGGGAGCGGCTTACTATGATGAATAATTAAGATGGGGAGATGGATGTAACATTAAAAATATATATTTTACTAGTGATGAATAATTAAGAACAGTATATGGATGTAACATAAAAATCATTGGCGAAACGCACCGTGCTGACCCGTGCGATCATGCATTTTTGCAGTATTTCGTTTTGTTATAAGATAGCTTGAAGTCCCAGTAACTAGAATTTATGGCATACTGGTTCTCAAAGTTTAGGAAATTAATTGTGCAAGGACATAGTACTTGGTCAGGGGACATCCCCTCAAACTTTCAGCTTCCTCTCTTTTCTGGTCCTCGGGTTAGCAATTTTTTCGCCAAAAATTTCACGGGACCGTACGTGAGAACCACACACACCGAGGGGCCGAATTTGATACCATTAAGTTGTACATGAGCTGGGAACATCTCATTAAAATTTCAGCTTTTCAGTTTTCCTGTTTTCCAAGTTAGCGATTTTCCTGCCGGGAACCTTCACGAGGTCATACGTAAGAACCGCGCATACCTGGGGGCCAAATTTGAAATTTTTGAGTTCTATATGAGAAAAGAACAACCGCAAAATTTCAACCTTCTAGCTTTCCTGGTTCCTGAGCCGATTTTTCCGCCAAAACTTTCATGTGCTCGCACGGGATCCCATGCTTGCGGTGAGGGTTGGTACCGCGGTCCTGGGATGGCACTTGACCGGGGAACCCACTGGCAAAATTTTGGCGCCGGAGTTTGCTTGGTTGCCGAGTTGAAATAACCGGACAGACGCACACACATGCACACACACATACACAGACACACCCACACACCGGAGTCGTCACAATATGCGTTTTTGCATTGCGTATATGCAATAATTGGCCAACGCACGGGCTGTACGTGCGATGATGCGTTTTTTGCGTAGTTTCCTACAGTTTTTGTCGCTACCGGTATCGGTTTTTTCGGCAGATCCTTCTAGCAAAACAAATTTAAACTGGCCGCCAAAACTGGCAGGAAACACCCCTTTAAAATTTCAGCTCTCTAGCATCTCAGATCCCCGAGTTATGAATCTGCGCGGGAAAAATTTTGGCAGGCACGTACGCGGGTACCACGCTTACCCGGGGGTTGAGTTTGAGCTCATTAGTACTTACTTGGACGGGGAACATTCCCTTAAAATTTCAGCTTTCCAGAGTAAATGTTTTTGATGGATGGTTGTGAAGTATTACGGGGTCGTTGTGACTAGGCAAAATGAAGCGCGAAGCGTGATTTTTATAATAATATATTTATCTAAACTTAGGTAGAAAAATAAGTAGGTTGAACAACATTACTATTAAAAAGACCTGACCGAGGACCGGTAGAATCGGTGGGAGACGAACTGGGGTCGTACAAGGGGAAGACGAATTTGTTCTGGATGTTGAGTCGAATGTAGAGGAGAGCGTTCCGGATCGATGTCCCTGAGCTGCTTCTGTCGAATCCCAAAAAAAGACCGGACCGAAAATAAAGAAAACCAGGGGTTATATAGAGGGGATTGGTCCTGCCCCTAAGAGGAGGTGTCCCACCATGTTCACCCCCTTTGTATCCAGCTGTAATCGCTGGATACAAAAACACATCAATCACCTTACAAAAGTACATGTCAGCTCTGGCTTTGTATATGTACAAAATCCCATGGGGGGTATAGGGGTGGGTTACGGTATGGATGGAAAAAAGAAAAAGTGAAAACAAAAGAGAATTTTGATAAATAGGTTTGTTGTTTAAGATATGGATTTAGCGACGAATGATATTTACACTAGCATCTCAGATCCCCGAGTTATGAATTTACACGGGAAAAATTTTGGCTGGCCCGTACGCGGGTACCACGCTTACCCCGGGGTTGAGTTTGAGCTCATTAGTACCTAGTTGGACGGGGAACATTCCCATAAAATTCCAGCTCTCTAGCTTTTCTGGTTCACGAGTTAGCACCTTACCTGTAAAAAAATTTGGCGGGCTCTTACGTGAGTAC